CCCCCCCCCCCCCGGCGTCCTCTTCCCGTGCTCTTGTGGCTCTGGACCGAGGGAGAAGGATTAGGGGGTCTGTCTGGCTGACTTCTCTCCCCTCACTCCCCCCCCGCCCCCTTCTACATTTCCCTGTCGATTAAAGCTCCCAGCGTCTTCCTCTTCAGAGCAGAAAAGTCTGCATGGGATCAACTCCCCGTCCTGTTTTCCATCCCAGAGTCTCCCGAGGGCTGAAGGGCTAAATCTTTGCCCTGGGAAAGTGGGCCCCCCCCTCACTTCCCGGAAGGCGCTTCTTTACCTCTTCGCCCCGAGGCTCCCTCCTTCCTCATTTTCTGTGCTTCCGGAGAACAACTCTGTCCCCGTGGTCATCCCCCACGGCCCCCAAGACTGCATGAAGAGGCAGTTATCGCTTTGGTCTTTCATTGCAACCACTGGGCTCCCTTTCTACGGGTCCCAACCTCTGGCCCCAGTATTTCCCCCTTCCCCAGTCCCGTGTGTCCACATGGGCTGGGGCCTCAGCTGCAGATCTCCTGGAGCAGTGGCATCATGGCGGCCAGCCCCCGGATGTGCCGGATTTGGTAGCCAAAGGCGTTGTTAATGCTCCGGAGCTCGGCCAACAGGCCCAGCAGCTTCGCATACAGAAACCTTTGGAGGAAGCGGTGGGGTCACCAGGGAAAGAGGAGGAAAATAAGGTAGCTGAGAGTCTTGCCCTGACGTCCTGAGCCCCTGAACTGTCCCTCGGTGAAGCTAGGTCTGACCCCTAGAGAAAATCACGCTCTGGTAGGACAAGTTTATCCAGAATTCCAAAAGGTCCCCGAGGGGGTCCTCTGACACTTTCCTCTCTCACCATGCCGTATTTCTTGAACCCAGAGGTCTGAGGGCCAAGTGTGAAGAAAGCCCCAGATGTGGCCAGGACGTCACCTGTGTGGAGTCTGTGGATCGGGTCTTCTAGAGCAGGTTCTAGAAGGTGGGTGCGTCCTGTGGTGTAAAGCAGCATCCCTCTCCTGGCCAAACCGGCTCATTGAGGAACAGCCGAGAACAAGGGGAGTGTCCCTCAGAGCCTGAGTAGATCACGGACTTTTGGGCCAGGGCACCGGCCTGGGCCATGAAACTGAACGACCCTGACTTCAAGGGGGAATGAATGAAACATTAATGGGCCCAACGGAGAGAAGGGGAAGGGCCAAGGAAAGAGAGCGAACGAGAGACTTGGCCGGCTGCTTGAGCCTGGAGAGTGGACGGGTGAGACAGCGGATGTCATCAATCTCAGGAATGCTGTTATACAGAGCCTGCCAGCTCCTACTTTGCATCTCTACCGAATAATAATAAAAAAAAAAAATCTGGAAAAAATCAGGTGAAACGCCCGTAGGGGCACTTTGGATGCCAGAACTACACGAGGCACGAGGGAAGGACTCGAGCCCCCGAGGGACCCGGTTTCCCCGAGGAAGGGACAGTAAAAGCATTCCCCCTGAGCTCAGCGTTTCCCTCGCCTTCGTGCCCTGGCGTAGCCTCCAGCCCCCCCCACCCCCCCGGGGCCCCCCGTACCGACTCCCAGGCCTTGGCTGCTGGCCTTCGATGTAGCTCTGCAGGGTCAGTGCCGTCACCTCTTGCAGATGATCAATCTGTTCCCTCCGGGTAACCCCAGGCCTGTCTGGAAGGAGGTGGGGGTGGCGGGGAAGGAGGGGTGGGGTCGGGCGCGGGCCTGCCATGCGGAGCGGGCCCAGGCTGGGTTTGAAGACAGAGCCCCGGTCGTGGGTGGGTTAACGGGGCTGGGAGTGGGGGCAGAGGCGGAGGCGCCCCTCTGGGCTTTGGGGACGCTCACCGGGAGAGAAGAGGGCCATGGCGGCCATGAGCACATACTCGGGCTCCTGGAGCTGGAGTCGTCTCAGGGTCCCGTGGAAGCGGAAGAGCAGCTCTAAAAACTGTTCCTGGAAGCCCACTGTGGGAGACGCCAGGCTTAGGATCCGTCGGGTCACCTGGCCGCACACCACACCTCGAAGGGCACGTGCCCTCTGCGGTTCTAGCGCCGTCTCACCGTGGGCTCCGTCCTCTATCGCGTAGTGGAGTGGCCCACAGAGGAAGTTTTGTGTTTGGAGGCAGAAGGTGGTGTTGAGGGCGATATGGCAGATCTCTACAGCCGCTCCCTTGAGAAGGGAGATCTGGTCCTCCATGGGCAGGGACCTGTGGGGAGCAGGGGACGAGAGCACCTCAGGCTCCACCCTGAACTTCAGACAGGGAGAGAAGCCCCCCCCCCCCCCCCCCCCCCCCCCGGTTCTGAGGGAGATACTTAAATTTTTTTTTTTTCAACGTTTATTTTATTTTTGGGACAGAGAGAGACAGAGCATGAACGGGGGAGGGGCAGAGAGAGAGGGAGACACAGAATCGGAAACAGGCTCCAGGCTCCGAGCCATCCACCCAGAGCCCGACCTGGGGCTCGAACTCAGACCGCGAGATCGTGACCTGGCTGAAGTCGGACGCTTAACCGACTGCGCCACCCAGGCGCCCCCGAGGGAGATACTTAAAAACAAAGCTGGGGATTCACGACCTGGGACCTGGTGCTCGGACAGGATGCAGGGTGGGTGAGGGGGGTCGGTGACTTTTTTTTTTTTTTTTCCCTTTGGTGTGCGTCTGGGGATTATGACTTCCTGGAGTGTTTTCTTCCTGAAGGGTAAAGGGGAGGTCATGTACCGGAAGAGGGGCAGATCCTTGGTGAACTTGATGATTTGCTGCACCATGAAGGTGTTGATCTCTGCGAAGTGCGTCAGCAGAGGCGGTACGGGGACCGAGACGGGCAAATGCTGGTGGCGGACGAACAGATGAGCGGGAGGCTGCAGAGATCAGAGCCTCAGTGAGAGGCTCTCTTTTGGCCGCTCCGGCCCTGGCTTGGAAGGGCGCTGGGCTGAGGCGTCTGTCTACACCGGGGGTTCTGGAGAAGTCTCGTCCTCCGTATCGGTGCCTGGAACACAGCCCCCTCCCTCAGGTCAGCCCCCCTTGGGCACCCTTGTGGTCACCTTCCGGCCCGAAGCCTGTCAAGGCTCACCCTGAACTGCACAAACTGGTGAAACATGGTGCCCACGTGGCGGGTGTGGGCCCCCAGGAGAGTCCGGACCAGCTCTTTCTGCTTGTCGCTCAGCTGACTGGGTGCTCGCTGCGCGCGCCGCTGGGCCTGCTTTGCTCGCCGCAGCGCCAAGGCCTCTGCCGACAGGATCACTGTGTCCGGGGAACACAGATGACAGAGCCACTGAGACCAGCCCAGAGCACCTGTCTCTGCCAGCCCCACGTCCGGGACCCCTCTGGTACCCAGCAGGGTGAAGGATGTGGGGCGGGAGGGCTTGGCTGAAATCCTCGAGGCTCCGGGCCGCTGGGGATTCCTGGCCACTTTTCTATCCTGCCAGGCCCTGCGGCAGAAAAGGGCCCCGCGGCGGAGAAAGGAAGGGTGGAGGGTAAGGGGGTCGTCGTGAAGGGAGATGTTTGGCTCCTGGGCCAACACTGACGAGGGAGGGCCCTGGATGCCTAAAAAACGTCACCGTATGTTTCCATATAGCGCTCTCATTTCGAGGGTTCTGAGGTTAAATCTCCCTGGATGCAGTAACCCTCTGGGTAGACAGGGCGGGTGTTATTATCCGTGTTTTTCAGAGACATGAGCGGGCTGACACCCCAGTGACAGGTCCAAGGTCACAAACACTTAAGTGACGGAGCTTGAATTTTTTTTTTTTTTTAACTTCCACGGTTTCCTTTCCACTGCTCCGTATGGAAAAGTCGTGTGATGTCATGGAAAAAGCAAGGCCTTGGGAGTCAGACAGAAGAGATTAAATACAGATGGTGTAGCTTTGTAGCTGAGCGAACCCGGGGCACATTGACTTCTGCGAGCCCCGGGGAGACTATCTGTGGGGAGCATAGCCTGGGTACCTGGCGCGGAGAAATGACACCAAGTGATTAACGGTTATCAAGTACCTACTGAGTGACAGGCACTATATGTGAAACATAGAAGAGAAAGGTCAAGCCACGTGAACATCTGGGGCAAGCAGATTCCTGGTGGAGGGGACGGCAAGGCGGACGTAAGGCGGGATCACGGACCGTAAGGCGGACGAGGAGCCGCTGGGGTTTTGGGCGGAATAGTAACATCGTCGGACTTGTTTCTACTCTTCTTGTGTGACGTACACGCTGTGGGACCAAGGGCAAGGCCGAGAGACCTGGTCCATGGATGCTCGTGTTGGGAGGGGCCAACTCACTGTCCTTCTTCATGCCAGCATCCAGGCACTTCTGCAACCTGCAGGCTGGGCAGTGACGTCTCTGGATCTTGTTGACCTCACAGCGTCCAGCAAAGGGGCAGGTGAGACCAGTGCTTCTGGTGACGGTTCGTCTGTGGGAGACAGAGACGTTTGGGAGGGCGGGCGGGGATGGCAGGAAACGGGTGGCGACGTGAGGGTCTGAGATGACGTGGTCTAAAAGGATCTGCGGTGACGTAGGCTAATCTGAGCTGTGCCCAAGGGTCCCTGGGGGGGGGGGGCGTGGGTAGGGTACAACACAAGCATCTCCGTAGGGCACGGAATCAGCACTCTCGACTAAGGGGTTGTGTCCATAGCACAAACCCTCGGCCTTCCCTCTGTTATCGTATCACCTGTTGGCTCAGTGTTGAGGTTGGCAAGATAGAACATGCTGGCCACGGGGTAGTCGGGCTCTGGGATGCAGGGGGGTTGTAGCTGGACAAGCTCGCGCATGTGCCGGGGCTTAAAGGCTGCCCGGCGGGCGGTTTGGGAGGTTGTTTCTACGGGGAGGGGGGCTCTCACCTGAAGAAACCCTTGCAGCCCTCACAAGTCAGGGCATGGAAGTGGTAGCCTGTGGCTCGGTCCCCGCACACCACACAGTTCCTCGGCTCGTCTTCCCCACTGGCCATGGCTTCAGACGTTGGAGTGGCCGTCACGGGCCCCTGAATGTGGGAAGGGTCAGCGGTCAGCTCCTGGTACCCTTGACCCCCTTCTCCCCCTCTTAGAGACCCCCTTCCCGAACCCGCCCTGGATCTGACCCTCTGCATTATCTGCACTTTATTGCTTTTATGTATTTATTTTACATTTACGTATTTTTGAGAGACAGAGAGAGACAGAGCACAAGTGGGGGAGGGGGCAGAGAGAGACGGAGACCCAGAATCCGAAGCGGGCTCCAGGCTCCGAGCTGTCGGCGCAGAGCCCGACGCGGGGCTCGAACTCACAAACCGGGAGATCGTGACCTGAGCTGAAGTCGGCCGACTGAGCCCCCCGCCCCCCCCGC